GAAAGACGAAGAAGAGGGAGAGAAAAATACCTGTTTGGGCCGCTTCTGTTTGTGCCGCTGCAGATTCGGAACTGAGAAGATGAAGAAATCTCCTTTTAGGTCACTTTTGTTTATTCACAAAAATATATAAAAAAAAAAAAAAAAAAAAAGACAGATTCAAAACGACGTCGTTTTGACAATAAATTTATTGGCGATGAAAATCATTTTGTTGCCATAAATATCACTCACCTTTTCAGCGACTAGTTTAATTCTGTCGCCAAAAAGCGCAAATTGGCGACAAACAGTTTCGTCGCCACATATTAATTTCGTCGCCAAAACTTTTTAGCGCTCCCGCGCGAAAAATTAAATTGGCGCCAACCATTTTTTCGCGACGAATTGAGATATTTGTTGCTAATGGTGTATTTTTTGGCGACCAACACGTATATTGTCGCCAAAAAAATACAATTGGCAACCAAATTCAATTTTGTTGCTAAAAAATGTCGCAAAAAATGCTTTGGAGGGTGGTGGGTGGTGGCGGAAGACGGTGGTGGAAAATGGTGGCAGGTGGTGGCTAATGTTGGGTGACAAAAAAAAAAAAAACTGAAAACTCAAAATGAAAACACATTTTTTGTGTTTTCATTTTTTGGCCAAATTTATAAACTGAGACCACTGATCTATAAATCAAAAATTTTATCAAACAAATTTTTATTTAAATTTTTAAAATTTTTATAAATATAAACAGAAAACTGAAAACATGAGTGTTACCAAACGACACCTTAAAAATTATAAACTATTAAGTTATAAATTATAATCATTTTCCACGTCTTTACTTAAACGGGCCAATATCCCTTCTTCTCTGCCAGTCCAAACGCGAGTACAACTTCTAGAAAAATGTAAATACAGTACAACGAATTTTAATTTTATAATTAAATAAAAAATTTAAATTAAGGGCTTGTCGGGGCTTTGGAAATGTCTTCTCGTTTTCTTTTTCGCTATCAGGCGATTTCAAGCGTTTCTCTTTTGCCCGTATTTGACTCTGTACTTACGCGGACGCGACCACCTTCTTAAATCTCATTTAATTTATCTCTCTCACCCCCCCTTCTCTCTCTTCTTTTTCTCTCTCTCCGCCGTCCGCCGCCGTCGTGCCGGAGCACCGGTCTCCGCCAGCGATTTCATCCGAAAACCGCCGTCTTTACTCTCCATTGGCCGGAAAACCGCTTTCCTTGTCTAAAACCACTTTTCTTTCAGTCCACGCCAGTCCAGAACCGCCTTCGAGACAGCTGACGCTGGTTTCGAGTGGTGGTGCTAGGGTTTAGGCCTGGACGGTGTTTTTTGGAGCTTGTGAGGGAGTGACGGATCTGTGAATTCTAGGCTTGTGAATTAGAGAGTTGGATTTTGGTGAGAGTAGATGTGAAAGGTTGATGGTAAGAGAGTGTTGTTGTTGTTGTTGTTGTTGTTGTTGATGATGTCCGGAACTCATCAGAGCAATCGCAGATGGAGGTGGTGTTCCGGTGAATTTCTCACATGGAATGGCAGATCTTGTTAGCTATGGTAATGCCAACCGTAATATCGAGCAGGTATGCTTGTGGATTTCAACAAAATTGGGATCTTTTTGTTGAATTTTGACCTCTCTGCTTCGATTTCATTCGCTTGGATTTTACAGATTTTTTGTGCGAAAATTTTAAACATTTTATCTTCCGTTTCTTGATTTTGCTACAGTTTGGTATCAGTAATTAACATTGAGAAAAATCTTCTTGTTTTCCCTTAAATTGATTTAATGTTCTTTGTGGTTGTTTCGTGTGAAACCTGCTGAGGAATATTGATTCATTGGATTTGTATTCTGCAAACAAATTTGGTTTTTTGATCAGAACTGTGACGAAAACACGCGATGTAAATTATTAGATGGATGATAGTTTTTGAGCTGTGACTTTGCACCAAAGGGCATGCTTATTATAATTCTAGATTATGTATTTACTAATTGTTGAATTAGTATATTTGATGATGGAATTGCCTGGATTATTAGTTTGTTCTGGAAAATATGGTTGTGAAGCAAATGCCAGATTTTGTATTAGTAATTGAGTTTCTTCACGATTATGAATGATAAAACGAGACTTCCAAAATTTGGAATGAATGTTCACATTTGCAAGGAAATGTGTTGGCTATTGATGTAGCTGTGTAAAACTTGGTAACTGATATTTGATCTCATATATATATATTCATGTGCAATCTTTGGCTGGCAATACATTTATTTGTAAACTATCGTATTTTCTTTTGCAGGCATTAATTGCTCTAAAGAAGGGTGCTCAATTGCTTAAATATGGTCGTAAGGGAAAGCCGAAGTTTTGTCCATTTAGGCTTTCTAATGTAAGTTTGATATTTAGATTTTTTCTTCTTGAAATCTTGGAGTTGGGCTTTCGCATCAACTGACAATTCATAGGGGATTTCTTTTTTCTTTTTTTCTTAATGATTTTTCTCTTCATTAGTGTGAAAGCAATTAGCAAGAAAATGGGTGGTAATCTTTATGTATGAAATGATGTTTCTGTGCAGTGCACATCACTGTTTATTTATATTTATATTTGGTATTAATTGGTGGATAAATCTTGATGTTCTAGATATGATCTTTAAATCTAGAATTATAATATACTTGTTTTCTGTATTGACGATTGCTGCAAAGAGGGCTTAAAATATTTTAAAAATCACAAAATAATCTTTGAAGGTAAGAAATTTTTTTAAGAACTATGGGAAAATATGAAAGTTAGAAAAACACAATAAAGCGATATAATGAAAAAATACATCATCTGGATCATATAACATAGCTGCTAGGTCAAAGAGAAACAATACCTCAGTAGCATGATTTTAAAATCAGTTGATAATGTTGTGTTACTGTACTGAGATCTGTTGTTTTTATGAACTGATATATTGATCTGAATAAAACTCAGACTTCATAGCCTTATCCCGTATGTGCTGTTATGTACCATTATGGTAATGTAGAGGTGGTTAATGTTTGTCATAGTGTTGTAGTGGCTGTTATAAGTGATTACAATCCCAACGCAACATGTGCTGTGAAGTCATCTAAAAAGTACTTTTAGGCCTCATTGTTTTTGTAATATTCCGCTTTTACTCTTTTTTTGCAAGGTAAGAAACTTGATTAGTCAAGTAGTGCTTAGGTTTAAAAAGCAAAAGTGTATGGGTGGTGGTCATTGTTGAAGAAGCCAAAGGTTGCTTTTCTTTGTCAAAAATTTGACATCGTTTGAAAGTTTGCAACATGCATGGATATTTGATAGTAGTATTTCTTGATTTTGGTTGCTATTTTAGTCATGAAAGTTGGAAAGGAATCAATAATACAGTAGTTCTTAGAGCTCGTTTGGGAATTGGCTACTTTTATTGATTTTTACGAAAGATGTGTAAAAAAAGTAAAGAGAGTGATGTGATAACTTGGTTTGGTTTTTTTGTTTATTTCAGCCAAAAAGCCCAATGCCAAAACATTGGCTTAGATACGAATATAAAATTCAACAATCATAACAAGTCTTATCTATAAAATTCACTAAAAACTATCCAACAACTTTGTAATATAGCAAACTTGGCTTAAAAAGTATTTGTCATTTAGAATTAGGAGTTTGCTAAGGTTAAAAAAGAATTAACAGGTCCCATAATTAATTCTTGTTAGTTGTTGGCCAATACTCCAATGATGTTTCACTGCAATTGTGACCATTACTGTGTCAATACTGCATTTAACGCCATGTATGGCAGTAAACCACAATATTGTGTACTGCCATGCAAATAAATGTCAGCAACACTGGTTTTGTTCACTGCAAAACAAACTGCAGAGAGATCATTAATTGTAATTGATTCCCTATTATCCCTAGCCTTGATACCTTCAAAAAAAAAAAAAAAAAAAAGTTAATTCTTTGAATAAAAAGGGTTAATTCTTTGAATGAGATGCTGAATTTTGGAATATGTTGGGACTTTCTGCAGTCAGGACATAAGTCTGTTTGTGACTCAAACTGGCCTCTTTTCTCAACCAAAAGTCTTTCCGGCTGGCTCCACAAGTTGATTCGGTTGTTCTGAAGTATTATTATGTCCGAAGCAAGATTGACTCTTGTCTTGGATAGCCGCAAACGTTTTGCTTATTATTTGAATATTCTTAAGGTGTCTGAGATACAATCTAGGATTATGTTTAGAGCATTGTTTTGGACATGCTGCCCCTCCAGCAATGATCATCTTGGTTTAAGTGTCTTTTAGCATTTAGTTCCCCGTATTGATAGATAGTGTAGTGGCACAAAGAGTAATTAGGATGTGTACAATGTGTTCTTGTGCAATGACAATTTTAAGAGAAAAAAAACATCTGATTTATTGTGGTATTGTTATGATAAAGAAGGCTCTTCCTTATGTCTTTTAGCATTTAGTTCCCCGTATTGATAGATAGTGTAGTGGCACAAAGAGTAATTAGGATGTGTATGATGTAATCTTGTGCAATGACAATTTAAGAGAAAAAAAACATCTGATTCATTGTGGTATTGTTATGATAAAGAAGGCTCTTCCTTATGTTCTAAGTGCTAGTTGAAGTGCTCGTTATGGTTAACACCATTACATTGTTTCTGATTTCCCACTGTTCTGGATCTTTTTGCGATGCCAACAAATTTTGAGCACTCAGTGGCAGAGTTTTGTAATTCAACTCCTTCAATATTGTGTGGTCGCCTATTTTTCCAAGACTTCTACAGGATTGGGAGGTGGAGTCTCTTGAGGCATTTTTTTGGGAGTTTTCAGGATGGGTCACAACACAGGCGGAAGATGTGATAGTATGGAAAGGGGATAGGAATGGCATGTTCTTGCTTTCTTCTTTTTATCGGTGATTATCTAGTGATGTGGAATTTCCTTAAAAGGCTATTTGGTTTTCAAGAGCACCCCTTATATGAGCTTTGATTACTACTCGAGATCTTATTTTGATGACGGATAATACAAGCAGGGGTAAATTTTTTATGGATTGGTGCTATGTGCAAAAGAGAGGGGGATAGTGTCAACCACCTTTTACTAAACTGTTCAGTATCAAGGGAGGTGTGGAGTGAGTGATACCCTATTCAGTTTGGCGTTTGTTTGCCTCTTACAGTAGAGGCTGCCTGAGAGGTAGCTTCAAAGGGTGTGTAGCTTTCCCTCATGCTGTGCTTTGAAATGAGAGGAATCAAAGGTCTTTTGATAGTATTGAGAAGTCTAATTTGTGTTTGAAAGGCCTGATTCTTGCCTTCCTATTTGTATGGCTTAGGGAGACTTATCGTTTCTCTTTTCTAGATTTTGACTTTTTGGGGAGTTGTAAATGCCCATTGATGCATAGTGGGAATATGTTTTTGTTTTTGTTTTGTTTTGTTTTGTTGGTTGTATACTCCATGTGTACGGGTTGTGACCCTTTCTTGGCAGTTTCTTTTGTATATAAAATATTTTACTTTTCAAAAAAAAAAAAAAAAAAGGTTCTGTATACTACCCAAGTAGAACTCATCTTTTATTCAAAACTCACAGGATGAATTATCTCTGATCTGGATTTCTAGTAGTGGTGAAAGAAGTTTGAAGTTAGCTTCAGTTTCAAGAATCATTCCTGGACAAAGAACTGTGAGATTTGTCAGCTTTTAACTATTATTTTTTCTTTATCATGTTATTGATTTTGGCACTTACATCTTCTTTAACTTTTCTTTGCTCAGCCAAACAAGTTGTCTAACTAAAGCTCTTCTTTTCTTGCCAAAAAAATTGTACTTCCAGGTTGTTTTCAAACGGTATCTGCGCCCTGAAAAGGACTACTTGTCCTTTTCTCTTATATACAACAACGAAAAGCGATCCCTTGATCTGGTTGGTCTTAAATACTAAGTTTTGTCCTTAATAACATGATTAGTGCCTTTTGGTCATTTGCTTTCTGGTTGAGTTGAATATGTGGCATGTGGTATGTGGCTCTTTTAGATCTGCAAGGACAAAGTTGAGGCGGAGGTGTGGATTGCAGGCCTCAAAGCATTAATATCCCCTGGCCAAGGTGGGCGCTCAAAAATTGATGGATGGAGTGATGGAGGCCTTTATTTTGAAGTAAATTTATTTCCTGTAACTTTTTTATATAGATCAATTTTCATGTTAGGACATATATTGTTTAAGCTGTACTTGTACATGAACAAGCATATTGATCTTTACTTGCAGTTGCTGAGTGCTGAGTGAGACATTGCATCTACTCTTGGAAAATTTATAAATTCTTGGTCATTTTTCTCTAGCCTATCAAGTTTTGCATTATGAAGAACAATTTACTTAGCTTATTAAAAAACTAGGGCTTTCTTAAAAGATCTAGTTGGTTCATTTTGACTTCACATGAAGTTTTTGAATGGGAAAATTCTTTATCCATCATCACAAACAAGTAGTCTGTGCCAATGACACCTAAATAATTTATGCATCATATGATTTTCTCTTGAAGGCCTCAGTTTCCCAACTTGGAAGAATTGGGGTCTTTCTGACTGTCTATTATCAAATGTAGTCTTCTACGACTTGCCCATGTTATCTACCTACAATTGTCATACTTATCATGGATACACTGAAATTATGGGTTTGCATTATTGATAAATATGTCCTTTTTCTGGTGTATGTCTTTTTGCAGTAATTTCATACGCTATAATTTATTGGAAGGTTTGGCAGAAAAAATGTTAAAAATTATCCTGGTTGTTTTTTTTTTCTTTTCCCCCTGCTATACTGCCAGCAGTGTGTCAAGTCTGATGTGAAATGTTTGATAAATTGATTTCAGGATAATAGAGACTTAACATCAAATAGTCCGAGTGATAGTTCTGTTAGTGTTACGCAAGATATTAGCTCTCCAGAGGTTTCTGTCTGTTCCAACGCAAATTCTTCTCCAAAGAGTTACAGGCCTGACAATTCTGTTAATTCTGAAAGATCATATGTAGCTTTGGACCAAGCAAATATGCACGTTAAAGGATCTAGTGCAGATGCTTTTCGAGTTAGTGTATCTAGTGCCCCCAGCACTTCCAGTCATGGTTCTGCTCCAGATGATTATGATGCTTTAGGGGATGTATATATATGGGGTGAGGTTACATGTGATAATCTTAGCAAGGTTGGGGCTGATAAAAATGCCAACTCTTTGAGCGCAAGAGCTGATGTATTTCTTCCAAGGCTGTTAGAGTCCAATGTAGTTTTGGACGTACAACATATAGCCTGTGGGGTCAGGCATGCCGCCCTTGTCACCAGGCAAGGTGAAGCTTTCACCTGGGGTGAAGAATCTGGAGGACGCCTTGGTCACGGCATTGGTACAGATCTTACTCAACCCCGTTTAGTTGAATCCTTAGCATTTTGTAGCATTGATTTTGTTGCATGTGGTGAGTTTCATACTTGTGCGGTTACAATGGCCGGTGAACTTTATACATGGGGAGACGGCACACATAATGTTGGACTTCTTGGTCATGGCACTAATTTGAGTCAGTGTATACCAAAGAGAATTTATGGTCCTCTTGAGGGACTTCAAGTTTCTATGGTAACTTGCGGTCCATGGCACACGGCCTTGATAACATTATCTGGTCAACTTTTTACATTCGGGGATGGAACTTTTGGTGTCTTGGGCCATGGAAACAGGGAAAGTGTTCCATATCCAAGAGAAGTAGAATCTCTGTCAGGGTTGAGGACAATTGCTGTGTCATGTGGGGTGTGGCACACTGCTGCTGTGGTGGAGGTTATTGTTACACAATCTAGTGCTAGTGCTTCGTCTGGTAAATTGTTTACATGGGGGGATGGAGATAAAAATCGCCTTGGACATGGAGACAAGGAACCTCGGCTAAAACCCACGTGTGTGCCAGCACTTATTGATTACGATTTTCACAAAATTGCTTGTGGCCATAGTTTAACTGTTGGTTTGACCACTTCAGGACAAGTTTGTACAATGGGAAGCACTGTTTATGGTCAGCTGGGCAATCCCCGGTCTGATGGAAAAGTACCTTGCTTGGTGGAAGATAAGCTCATTGGGGAATCTGTTGAAGAGATTGCATGTGGTGCATATCATGTAGCAGTGTTAACATCCAAAAATGAGGTCTATACATGGGGAAAGGGAGCCAATGGGAGGTTAGGCCATGGGGATATAGAGGATCGCAAAACACCAACTCTGGTTGAAGCTTTGAAGGATAGACATGTTAAATTTGTCGCCTGTGGTTCAAACTACACTGCATCTATATGTCTTCACAAATGGGTTTCTGGTGCCGAGCAGTCCCAGTGTTCAGCTTGTAGACAAGCTTTTGGTTTTACCCGGAAGAGGCACAACTGTTACAATTGTGGACTTGTGCATTGCCATTCATGTAGTTCCAGGAAAGCATTAAGAGCAGCCCTGGCCCCTAATCCCGGAAAACCATATCGGGTATGTGAATCCTGTTTTGCCAAACTGAGCAAGGTGGCAGAGGCTGCTGCTAATAACAGGAGGAATGCTTTACCTCGCCTTTCAGGTGAAAACAAGGACAGGTTAGACAAGGCTGAGATTAGGTTGTCCAAGTCGGGAATGCCTTCTAATCTTGAGTTAATTAAGCAATTAGATAACAAAGCAGCCAAACAAGGAAAGAAAGCTGATACGTTCTCATTAGTTCGTCCCTCTCATGCACCTTCTTTATTACAGCTGAAAGATGTGGTTATGACTACCGCTTTTGATCTTCGTCGACCAGTTCCCAGACCAGTTCTTACATCATCTGGTGTTAGTTCCAGGTCTGTGTCACCATTCTCTAGGAAACCTAGCCCACCACGTTCTGCAACGCCTGTTCCTACTACCACTGGGCTTTCTTTTTCCAAAAGTATTACTGATAGTTTGAAGAAAACAAATGATCTTTTGAATCAAGAAGTTCACAAATTACGTGCACAGGTATTTTATTAATTTTTTTTTTAAAGAAGAAAGGTCTGTCCATTTTAAAGCGGGTTTCTTATCTTGGTAATCATGGAATTGGCTTAGGTTGAGAGCCTTCGACATCGGTGTGAACTTCAAGAATTGGAGCTTCAGAAATCAACAAAAAAAGCCCAGGAAGCTACAGTACTTGCTGCAGAAGAATCTGCTAAATCTAAAGTTGCAAAAGAAGTGATAAAGTCACTTACAGCACAGGTTTGTTTCTGGGTTCTATTATTTCCTTTTCCTTTTCCTTTCCTGGAATCTGATTTTATTGGAAACTGTGCTGGATCTATTATCTGTCGCCATGTGCTAAGTTACAGGTCAGTGATATAGGTGACTGTCATATAATGTGGAATTGTGGGAGTTGTGTTTATTTTATTTTTGTTTTTTCGTAATTTTTTCTATTTTTGATTACGGTACTTCTTTTATAAAGCAATAGTTAATCACTCACATCACTGTCCCTCAAAAGTGCTTACCAAGTGGAGAAATTTGTGCTAGTTTCAATGTCCTTCAAAGCACAATCTTTTGATTCTTAAATCCTGCGAATATGAAATTAAGTCACAGGCTTTCTTGTTTTAGTTGAGCATGAATATCGGATTAACTTTCAACTATCCCAGATCAAAGATATGGCCGAGATGCTGCCAACTGGGGTCTATGATGCAGATCGCATGAAGACAATTTACCTACCAAATGGTTTGGAGCCAAATGGCATTCACTACCCTGACGCAAATAGAGAGAGCCAATCTGATTCGACCAACAGCTCTGGCTTGTCCTCCTCCATGGGAACTGACTCTGTTACAGTAAATGGAAGACCAAGCTCTGGTGAATTGTCAAGGGAACCACCACCAGTAGGCAAGGAAACAAATGGAAGCCAGGGGCTTCTGAACTCTAGTGGGAGGGATGACAATTTGAATGTTAGACTTCCGAATGGTAATGGAGGGGTTAGTGTGTCGGAGCCTCTTGACCGCAAGGAGTCAGGACCGGTCCAAGATGGTGACACTACTAGTACAAGATCTAGGAATTCGACGTTGGCTGGAAATGCTAATCAAGTTGAGTCTGAATGGATTGAGCACTACGAGCCTGGTGTGTATATAACACTTGTGGCCCTCGAGGATGGAACAAGAGATCTCAAACGAGTGCGCTTCAGGTAACTTAATTGTTTTCTGCTTCTGTTGTTCATGTTATATAGAAATCTTGGAGATTTGCGCAGTGGAAGATTTAAATTTTTAGATGATATAAGATGATTGTACTTCTTCGATATTAATATCCTGGTTGTAAACATGATCATGTTTTGATGTGCAGCCGGAGAAGGTTTGGTGAGCACCAAGCAGAGACGTGGTGGTCAGAGAACCGTGAAAAGGTTTATGATAAGTACAACGTTCGTGGCACAGATAAATCATCGGTCTGACCTCCATCTGCCCAACAGTAGCAAAATGATTGGAGGAAAGTTTTCTATCAAACCCTTTTGTATCCGTCAGTTGTGAAGGTTTCTTAGGTTGAGCATTAGACACAAGATTGGACGTAAATGCCCCTTACCCTTGTTTTTTTTATTACCCCGATTTCTTCCCATTTCATAATTTATGTTTTGGTTCATTTTAATTTTCTGGGTATTATTTGCCCGTCTTTTTTTGGTGGGTAGGTTGGGTAATGTCATAATTACTCGTTGATCCATCTGTTGTATTGTAGTGTACATAAAATCGCCAATTGTGATAAATCTCGGCTGAAAGAGTTCTTTCATTTCTTGGTTTTTCTTCCACCCCAAAGGCTTTTTCTCATTGCCTGTTGTGTGCATTCCATTTGTTTGTATGAGCTCTCTTTTTGTCTGCGCTTTGGAAGCTGTTTGTAAAGCGATATATACACGACACCCCACGTTGACATTACTACACAAATGATCCTAGCAATATTTGATAGTCCATTGCTCTAGGTTACAAACGAGTCAAGTTTTGCTAAGTTTGAGTTCAACTCATTTGTTTACCGAGTTCGTTTATTGAGTTTGAGTTTGGCTTGATAATTAATTGGACTCGAATTTGAGTTGGATTTGACTCGTTAATATTAATGAAATTCGAGCTCGATTCGGTTTTATAACATTTTTTATATTATTTAAATAAAAATATTAATTTATATTATTTAATATATAAATAATATGTTTATTATCTAATTTAAATAAAGATAAACGACTTGAACTTGACAAGTCGAGTTTATTCGAGTTTGAGTTGGTTCGTTTACTAAACAAATCGAGTTGAGCCTATATTGAGCCAAGCTTATTTGTAAATAACTCGGTTTATTTGCAATCATATGCACCACACAAATTATGGCACTTGTGGTTTCTCCTCATTAGGAGACAAAAAGTAGTGGAATCCACTATTTTAGTCAATAAAATGTATGTTAGAGAACCATTTGGACTTGTCCCTTAAAGCAAACTATAAATTCACTTATTTGATCTATTTATATATATTTTTATTTTGAGTGTTTGTGTCATTATTTAGCGTAATTTTTACCTATAACGTATTAGATATAAATAGTTTAAAGGTTTGTTATAGTTTATATTTTTAAACTATTGTTAAATTGTTTATTTCGTTTCTGAATTTTCGATTGAGTCTACTAAATCCTTAAAATATATAAATCCTAGTCTATTTAGTGTTTAAATTATTAATTGAATCTATATAAGTCTCTAAAATATCTAATTCAAACATATTTAGTTTTTTTAAAGGATTACAAAAATAAAATATAAGTCGATAATATTATAAATTAGTAAAATGTCATATCTAGCTAAAATTCTATGTCAATTTTTAAAATTTTTTATTATTATCTTTGAAAAGTGAAAGCCAGTTCTTAGGGTGAATTTTCTTTATAAAGGTAAGGGTAATTATCTCTAATATTTTCTTTCTTATTTTTACATTGGCTAGCTGGTTGTTTTTATTTAGTATTATATATCATATTTTGTTTATAATGTATAATTGATTCTTTTTAAATTTTTCGCTAAGTTCTTTTTATAATGTATTATTTTGTTCTATTATTATTGTGTTTGGTTTGAGTTTTTTGGATTAAATTTTTTGAAAACTGAGTTTTTTAGTTTTCGTGTTTTTTTTTTGTTTTTAGTGAATATTTTTAAAATTTTGAACATTTTTTTAAATTTTTTTTAAATGCACTTTATTTAGATGTATCTAAAAAGTAAAAAATTTGTGAAAAAATATTTTAAAAAAATTAATAAATACATAAAAATACAAAAAATATGCTGAATTCTTGTATTTTTTTTTTGTATTTTTGGTATTTAGTGAATTTTTAAAAGTTTTTTTTTACAATTTTTTTACTTTTAGGGTATATTTATGTTAGATATGTCTAAAAATTAAAAAAATTGCTTAAAATATTTAAAAAATTCAGTAAAAACAAAAAAATGAGGAAAACAAGAAAGTAGAATTTTCTGAAAAGTATTTTTGAAAAACTCTAACCAAACAAAAATATCTACTTCTATTTCTTTAGTATTTTTAATATTAATATATTTTTATTGGCAAAACTAAGAAATCAGACTTTAGTACTAATTTAACACACATCAAAATAAAATATTTTTAAAGACAATAGAAATTTAAAATTTTTCTATAATAAAATATTAATTAGATAGAGTCTTTTAGTAATTTATAATACTTATGGACATATATTTTATTTTTGTAATCTTTTTAAGGACTAAATAAATTTGAATTAAATATTTCAGAGACTTAATAAATTCAATCGATAGTTTGGGAACTAAATAGATTATAGTTCAAGAACTAAATAGACAATTCAACGATAGTTTAGGGGTAGAAAGTCTAATAAACCCATAATTTTAAATAAGTTGATTACTTGAAAGTTAAGGGAGAGCTATTTTTTGCTATTCTAGTTTTTTATTATCAATTTTTAGTTTAGAATAAACTATACCAAACAAGTCCCATTGTCATATGGTAAATCTGGCTTACAAGATAAGAGACAATCAATAGTGCTGGGGACCGCCAGCACCCCACTAGCACCCCCACCTCCACCACCTCCACGTGGGGGCTGTTAGAGCAAGGTTTTAAAAAAAAATAAAAATAAAATAAAATTGAGTAATCCCGCTATGCCACATCAGCTAGGGTCACTGGGGTCAGAAGGGACAGGGGGCCGGAAGCATTTTTCAAGAGACAATGGATCCGTTTGATATTATTTATAAGTTAATTTTCATGATATCTCTCTTTACTTTATATTTTTTAATTTTTTTCTATAGATTATTGGCCTAAAAGAATCAAATTAAGTCATAGATTTGTTGGTACAATTTTTTTGATTATCTATGAATGTAATTGAACTTGTTTGGTTTAATAAGCTATTATATAGATTATTTATTTATTATTTTTGTTGTTGTTGTTATTGTTGTTGTTGTTGTTAAGAGATCACTTTGCGTGGGTCTTGAGATTAGTTGATGTGTGCATAAACTAGTTTGAATATTCAGTTAGGCAAAAAAAAAGAAGTTTTTGTTGTCAGATAAATATTCCAGATACCTTCAAAAGTTAAATATGATACAGGACACTTTTATTTATACATATTTAATGTTTCAAATAAAAAAAAATACAAATTGTAGATCAAGATTAAGAAAATCTAATTATTTTTGGTCGAATAAATTGAAAACTTAAATAAATTATAATATAAAATTGAAACTAAAAAACATTAGTCGATTTTTTTTTTTTTTTTTTTAAAAGCAAATAGGTTAAATTACCAAACATAATCGTTTTCTATGCACTTTTTTTTTGAATCTTAATTTTTTTTTGATCATTTAAGATCATTTAATTTTTGTTTCAATCTTCAGTCTCCTAAATTTGTACCAGGAAAAAAATAAAGGAAGAAAAAATAAGATTTTTTATTCAAGTGCTTAGACCCTAATATTCAAGTTGGTTAGATAGATAATACCAAGAAAGTAAAATAATAATAATAATAATTTTTTATTTGTCTATTTAGACAGAGAGTCCTAGAAAGTAATGAAAACTAGAGTTTCCTCTAAAACTCAAATTAATTTGCTAGTTAGGCTAAGGAAAATTTATTTTTTTTTACAAATTTTGACAAGATTTATTTTGTTTTTCTTTTTGTCCATATTTTTCTACACAACTCCCTGTTATGTATATTTTTTCCCCATAATTTTTTGTCAATTTTTTTTATCTATTCAAATGAATGCAAGAAAATAAATTTTCATTTCTTTTTCCTTTCTTTCATTTTACTTTTTACCATTTTCATTTTCTTTCTAAAAAGACAGAGCCTAAAGTCAAATTAAACCAAGAAGTATGTTTAACCAATGATATGCTGACTAAATTCAAAATCACACTAAAAAAATTAGAAAGGGGTACATGAGCCACATGTGGTAAATCAATAAATAAAAAAATCACATTAATTGTAAATTGGCGTGACTTTGATCAAGTCCTAATCACTGTTTTTGAATTTATTGGTTAGTGTTAAGGTGCTTTATTTAAGGTTTGATGAAGCTCAATTCACCAAAGTTGTTTTGAGAATTAGGGATCATGGATCCATCCAATCCGATTGAATCAATCAAACTGGAGTGTTTCTTTCAGTAGATGGATGCGGATGAAATATTTCAAAATCTATGGATACGGTTTGGATGGCAGATTAACTATCCTGCACCCACATGAACCCGATCCGCTTGTAGATGAAGTTAAAAAAGAAAAAGAAAAAGAAAAAGAAACTACTAACAAGTAACAACATAGAATAGAAATAATAAAATGAAAATGTTTGGGCCCCCCTTTGGGGATGACCCCCACACCCCCAAAGTGATATTGGCCCACCATATATGTGTGGAGCCCACTTATGTATGTGTGGGGTCCACATCATGAGTGGTCTAGATTTGTGGGATCTTGTGGGGGTCTCAATTATTACTCATAACAAAATATATATTTTTGTGAAAATGAAAAATAATACTTTAAAATATATATGCGTGGTGTCATGGCCTATTATAAACAAATAATACATATTTTTTAGATTACTAGTTATTAGAGATTATAAAAGTTATGAATTATAATTTTAAAAAATGTGTAAAATTTGTAAGGTTCAAACCGCTAAACTGATCGCATCCATTCGCCAATCAGCACGGCTTGCTCAATTTGTATCTGCCAAACCGGTGGACGGATGCAGATTGAATATTTTTTAATTCGCCTAATTTTATACGGATAGCAAATGAGATATCACCTGACCCAACCCGATCCGCGATTACCCTACGGTGAATGTCCTTTTGATAAAGTTGATTTTTTTGAGAGAGTTAATTGACTATTAACTGTAACCTCAAAAAGTTCACCAAACAGGGTTGTATTAATACAAGTTGCTTTTTTCTTTTTAGGAGCTAAAAAAGTTAATATATGAGGAAACTTTTTGTATGCATTTATTTCTTGATTTCACCAAAATCCAATATGCTTTCTTGCATATTTCATTACTTTATAAATTGTCTATTTCATAGGTTTCTGTAACGCCCTCAAAAAAATACATAAAATACATTTCTTTAGACATGCATTGATACAAAGAAACCAACCATCTTTCCATTAATCTGAGTAGTTCTTACAAAAGTATTACATGTTAACAACAAAAGCAAATGCCATACGGGCTTACAGCTTTCCAAGTTAATACTTGGTTACAAAAAGAAGAGTACTAACTCAATACATATTAAGCCCTTGGCTTGAATCTACATGTAGTACATCAAAAGAAAGCAAATAACAAAGCAGTCTGTCTGCCTCTAGCCTCCCAAGCTATGTCTTT